AAAGATTTAATTTATAAGACATTTAGTCTGGGACTAGCCTAGCAAACGCTTTATGACACGAATTAGCCAGCGTTCTAATTATTTCCTATTATGAGGATATAACACTGTTAGTTTTGTAGACCCGAGATAATTACTTAAAACATAATGTAGCACAGCTAACTTATTGGAAAATGCATTAGGTGCCTCGCTAAGCCAATTACACATAATCTAAATACATAATCTGGTTAAAAGGCGTTGCTTTTAAGGAGCAACAACACTTTTGACTCTTAACTAAAATATTCATAAATTTATTTATTTTATAATTAATTAATTTCATAGTAATAGAATAATTGTCAAAACAAATAAATCACATGTGGTCATGATTTTATAATAATTTGTCGTTAACCCGGGATTAATTTGTTTCACAATCACCAAATGGACATGAATCCAGGCCAAAGCTAATTTTAATATCATAAAACAGCAATACATAAACCAACGCTGTTGCAATTTTTGGCGTGTTTTGAGAATAACTCCGGTTTTTTCAAATGAAATTTAGTGCGGAAAATAAGTTTCGCCGTGTGAAAGCATCATGTTTCGATTGAATTGCAACCTCCACGTGAAGCTTGAAGAAAAAACACGATTTCATTAACTTTTGGGATAATTTATTATGAAGTTGTGTGGTTTCGCGGTGACTTTGTTGTTCAATTTATCATCGTTTTTGCCCTAAACAGGTTGTTTGAACCAAATCGCACAAACGCGGGGGTTAATTTTAAGCAAAAAGTTTAAAAGCGAGATAGGGAGGTTGGGAATGCCAATCTAAGAGGATAACAGATAAATGTGAGTTTTTTATTGCTCTTTCGGCCGGGTTTTATCTTCTTTGCCTTCTTGCGGCTTGGTTTTTAAGGATAAGGCAGATATGCATTTCAGACGTAATTACACAGTGTGTAAAGAAGTGAGTACAAGGGGTTATTAAAACTTTCATTGAGAGTGAATTCTTGTTACGATTTTATGCAAGTTTGAGCTTCCATTAGCACGTAGTTTGCTTAAGGAAGGAAAAGTTGCAGTAATTGAATATTAGCTTTTCTTAGATATGCATATTAACGAGACATCAAAGAAAGTTGTTGAACTTTTCACATTAGAGATTTTAACATCTGACAAATTAATAAAGATACGAATTTTAATCACAAATTCGCGACTTGCACAATACTTTGATTTACTAGACTTGTCATGTAATTAAAATGCATAATTATTCTCACGGATTTCCCCGGAAACCAATTATGGGTCCCAAGAAATGTAAAATGTTAATAAGTCAACTCGCTCAAGTTGCACAAACCATCACATTTCTCTTTGAAGTTGGTTTCCCTGAAATTCAAATATTGCTTGCAATTTCGACACATATCAAAAATTTTGTTTATTCAGTCTTTCGATCTCTTTAAATAACTTCACGATTCACGATACTTTTCAGGGCTTTAAATAGTTGAAACGTGTTGGCGAGTCGTCAATCGGTGGCGAGTGTCACGAAGTGCACTTTGTCTGGGAGAGAATTGTTGCTTGGAGGTTAAACAAAGTATCACATTGCCGCCAGTAATAACACTCTGACAAGATTGGTTCTTGCAATAAGACCTGGAAAATGTAATTGGACGGCGGACATTAGAAACAGCCCTTGCTAGTCCGCCACCTTCACGACGTTTTGAAAGATTAAAGTTGAAACGGAAAGGGGCAAAGTTTTTTTTTATAAGCTACTTGGGCGTTAAATTGTTTAAGCTTGTTTTAATGACTTAAAAGGAGCAATTAGGATTTGTTCGAAAAATTTTTTTGGTGGGAGAAAAACTAAAGAGTTTGTTGAAAAGTAAGTACTATGGACAGTTAGTAGTAAAGACAAAACGAATGAATGAATCATCAAAAGTTTGTGAAGCTATTTCATAACAAATAAAAACAGGATTTATTTTTACACAACATTTAGTAGTCTTCAGCTTTGTTTACTGTAGAATCAAACGTTTTATTTACTCGGTTTAATTTTTTTTACATAATAGTACTCTACTAAAACGACAAATGACCAAAAAGATTTCAAAAAGTACAAAAAACGTTTCAAAAATGCAAGAAATAAATTTTTGAAAAATTTTGTGTGAATTTGTACGAATATATTGAATTAAAACATTGGAAGTGTCGGCGGCGTGGTGGTGTAGCGGTATAAGGTTTCGCTTTGTGGTAGGTAGGTCCGGGGTTTGAACCCCGCTCAAGTCAGCAATTTTTTACTAATTCAAATTCAAATACTAATTTAAATTAGCAATAAGAGATAGCGGGCGCATAAGAGCGTGAACTGTAAAATATTTGGACATATTATAATAGTATAATAAGAGAGGGAAAGCGCATAAGAGCAAATAAGAACGCAAAGCAAAATAAGAAAGAGATAGAGCATCATAAAAACAAATCAATGAGCAAAGCATAAGGGAAACCGCTATTTCGGTGTCACAATGGGCATTTTGTGCGACTGTTTTCAGTTACAGAAAATGCTCTTTGTGACACTGTTTTTATAAACTTTTTATGCTATATTTTTACCATCACTGAGCTATTTTCAAGCAATTTGGGTACCTCACAAGTCCAATCACAAAAAATTTAACTGTCCAATATAATACAAAATTCAATTTAAAAATCTCTCAATAGAAAAAAAAAGTATAAAAAACACGCTTCTCATTGTGATATTCGAATATTTTATTCGCAAACGTATTCAGATTACAACTGGAAACTTGATGATGACTGAAATCTAGCCGGGAAATTATTACATACCAAGACGTAAAGAAGAAAGTAAAAAACAAATTAATAAAATTAAAATAAGAAAAATATGTTTACTATCATTACAATTAGTTAGGTTATGTGTTGTTATTTGTTTGCCAATGACCATACAACATTTATAATGTTTTTATACTAACTAAAAAGGGGTTAAAGGTCATTTTGTTTTTTTTTTTGCAGTTTGATTTTTCTTCTTCTTGGATCTTCTTGGTATGGAAACGATGAACAAAAACACGATTAGCCCGTCACACCAAACTTTTATTTTAATAGCACAACGCGTTTCNATTCTCACCTGAGGATGACCACTTTGTGGTCGAAACGCGTTGTGCTATTAAAATAAAAGTTTGGTGTGACGGGCTAATCGTGTTTTTGTTCACAGTTTGATTTGTTGGAAATTGTTAATATTGAATGGATGCAAATAAAATAGTATACACACCTCTATAGAAGATCTTATTTTAGCCTTGAGTTTTAATTTGTAATAACCAACGCTCGTCTGTAATAAAGCTCTTTCTTATTGGTTATGTAAAACACTGTTACTAACCCGGCGCATCCACCAAAAGAGTTATTTCGATTTTTTTTTATTGTTAACTATTTAATTAGTAATTTTTTTGATAAATAAAGCCCATAGAAACCTATTTATTAATTGCCAACTTTTCTCTTCTTAGTCGTATACATTTTCAGGAGTAAATGTTACATGTGATGGAATTGCTTTGCATTTATTAGAGCGTTATATGTACATATCTATTTATAGAATATGAATGAAACCTATTAATTCAGAAATTAATATCTACGTGATTAAAGGCTCTTCCTAGAATATCGAGAACAAAGAACGTCATAGATTGATTTTAGGTGATAATTAAATTTTAGAAATAGGCTATAATAGAACGGCCATTTTGAATACAGTTTTCTAATATACAGGGTTTTTGGTTTAATTTTAAGTTAGAAGTAGTAGTAGTTCTGACAATTGTCATTAATGATAAGAAACTAAATTTTTTTATAATCGGTTAGGTCCTGTTCAATGAAAATATTTTCAAGATGGCGAAAAAATGGTATCAATTTCGTAATTTTAAATAGAAAGTTTTTTTTAGTTTTTGGATGACTCAAGGAATTTTGAGAGAGTTCTTATTGGCCTTATACAGGGTGTGTAACAACTCGCGCCCCAGAGAAAAATTTCAAGTAAGATGAGATACTAGGAATATGAAAAAAATGTTTTTCACATTTGACATTTTTTTATGTCTATTAATGAGACTGATGATCTTATACATGGTTTTTTTTATAATTATTTAGTAAAGGTAAAAAAAAATTGCCAATAAAAACCACAAATAACAGAGTTACAATTTAGCATACAACTTCCTTGTTTCCTCTTCTAATAGCCTGTAGCAAAAAAACTTCGAAAATTATTTTTCCAACAGTATAATAAATAGTCAAGTGCAAAATTTAAACTCTCATAACTTTGAAATTTTTATAGGTAGAATTTTTTAAACTTTTTTTTCCATATTCCTGGTATCTTACTTTACATGGCATTTTTTTCTGTGGGACGAGTTCTGGCGTCCTTTGGAGATTATCTATAAGTTTTTTAAATATTTAGACTTTTTTACACCTTTTTTTTCAAAAATCTATGGTTTTGTTGCCATTTTTTATTATTTTAAAATTGTATTTGTCCATATGAAAGATAAAGGTTTGATTTTTTATTTTTTTGATGTATTTACCTATAATTGAAAAAATGATTAACAAACTCACAAAATTTAAGGTTAAATGAGTTTTTTCAGGTAAAAGGCACATTTTTTTTTCTATTACTCGTAAATGAAGGGGAATTTAATTTTGTATTGATCTGTTTCTGCATTTGAAAATATTTTTATTAAATAGGACTTAACCTATAGTAGCTGGAGAATTTTTATTGTCAGAACTCTTAGTGCTGTGATATTTAACCGAAACAGTCTTCAGATTAAAGTCTTCAAACTCTGCCTGTGGTTTTCTCAGTTTTTGAGAAAAAGAGTTTTGGTGTTTTCCGTAATTTTTGCTGAAATTAAACAAGATTTTTATTCTTTACTCTCACCTTATCACCACCCGAAATCGAGCATTTTAATTCAAATTTCTCAGGTTTAACACGGCACGCATTTTTTCGCTTTAATATCCCCGTGCTCGTGCGGTTTATTAAATTTTTTTAAATCCCTCGATAAATTCCTTCCGTTTTCTCAGTCTTGAATCTGACGATTTTCTTGTTGTTTCAGTGGCGGTTATTGCGCTAAACTCACTTTGCTGCCCTTTATCCCAAGCCAAGGCTTCAGTAGCAGGTAAGTTGTTTGACATGATCGCAACCCTATCGTTGATAACAAGTCTGCATGTTGAAATCCACTTACTTGTGGCTTGGTTTTGGCAATATTACCATAGTTAGCGTCTGTCAGACTTGTTATGCATAGATGCACATATTCCGATGTCTGGAGAAAATCATGTAAATTGATGGTTTTGGCCGGGAGGCTTGTGTCTCAGAAACGAGATCTTGGGTTCGATAAGTCGCGATTACGACGGCGGGGATTGGGATGATGGTAGTGGAGAGTAATTAAGAATCAGTTTTGGGGAGATTTCCGCGGTTTAAGTCAGGGTTTATTGCGTGCGAAAAGCACAAAAACGTAATGAAATGAACGGTTTTATGCTCCATATCTGATGAGAGACATGAAAAATAAATCTGAAATGAGAACACTGAAATAAAGGAAACAGCAGATGTTGAAAAAGGTGTTTTACCTTGGAATTTATAATATATCAAATGTTAATGGATTAAAAAACATAATAAAATAAAATTGTTTAAAACAGAGCAGGCTTTTATTTCAGTTAATTAGCTTTTCATTAATTTAATAATTTCCAGGGGTTGTTAATTCTGGAATTAGTTATACAGATTTTTGAAATTTATAGATATAGACTATATTTTCTTTACAAAATTTAGGCCAATCAAATATTTCAAATTTCTTAGATTCATCCAATCAGAATCAAATTATCAGTAATTTACCTGTGTGCTAAATTACCGCGAATCTGATTGGATGAATCTCAGAAATTTGAAAGATTTGATTGGCATCATTGTTTTTAACATTTAAAAAAAAATGTTTTTTTTTATAAATCTTGTTTGGAAATAGTCTGCAAATAGCTATTTATGCAACAAGTTGCAAAATCAGCCTATTTTTCACAGGACGTGAAGATTGTGATCCAACACGTAGTGTGCAAAAAACAGCTATTTTCCATCGTGTTGTATACAAGATTTTTTCCAATTTGGTTGTAAAAACTATAGGCAGCAAATTCAAATTTTAATTTTCCAAAATCATACTAGTGTCGGGACATTGCTGTAAAAAGGGTGTTTTTAACACTAGTGATAAAATAATGTCATATTTTATAACTAGTGAGAAAATTAAGCACATTTCACAGCTCACAATGGTTGCTTATTTTCACGGCCAAATTGGAAAAGTATTTTTTATCCATGCCAAATTGATTCTAATGATTGACAATGATCGACACTAGGTTTATTTCTATTGAAAATTAATTTGAATTATTTGTGAATTACTGGAATTTTTTTGGAATTACAATATTAGAATTTTTTTTGAAATTATCGGAGTTCGGAGATAAAATTAGGTACGTTGAATTTAGCAAAAATTATTTTGGAATTACGAAAATTAATTTAAAATTAAGTTTGAATTGTAGGAACTAATTTGGATTTACAAGAATTAATCTGGAAACAATAGAATTACGATGAATCATTTGAACCACTGAATTTTTTTAGAATTACTGGAATTATTTATGAATTACTGGAATTTTTCTGCAATTATAAAAATTTTTCTTGAAATTATCGGAGACCAGTTTGAAATTTTTTTGAATTTTTTGTGAAATTATCGGAGATCGGAAATAATTGCTTTTGAAAATTACGTTGAAATTCTCGAAATTAATTTGAAATTAAGTTGAAATTAAGTTTGAATTACAGGAATGAATTTGAATTTACAAGAAGTAATCTGGAAACAATGGAATTACTATGAATCATTAAAACCACGAGAATTTTGGTGAAATTTTTTAGAATTACTGAAATTATTTTTTGAAATTTTTTCGAATTTTTTGTGAAATTATCGGAGATCGGAAATAATTGCTTTTGAAAATTACGTTGAAATTCTCGAAATTAATTTGAAATTATGTTGAAATTAAGTTTGAATTACAGGAATTAATTTGGATTTTCAAGAATTAATCTCGAAACAATGGAATTACGATGAATTATTGGAACCACGAGAATTTCGGTAAAATTTTTTGGAATCATTTGTAAAGGAATTTTTCTGCAATTACTAAAATTCTTCTTGAAATTATCGGAGACAATTTTTTTTTTGAAAATTACGTCGAATTTTTTGGCATCATGGAATTAATTTGGAATTACGAAAATTAAATTTGAATTTCAAGAATTAATTTGTAATTACAGGCATTAATCTGAAAACAATGGAATTACGATGGATATTTCTACTACTGGAATTTTGGTAAATCGTTTTTGGAACTCTTGGAATTATTTGTGAATTAAGTACTGGAATTTTTCTGAAATGAATGAAAATCTTTTTAGAATTATTGAAGATAATTTCTTGTGAAAATAATTGAATTTCTTAACTTTCTTCTATTGAAATTATTTTTGAAAACCAAAATTAAGTTGGAATTATAGGAATTAATTATTAAAAAATGGAATTACGGTGGATTATTAGAAATTTGGTGTAATTTAAGTGTGAATTACAGGAATGAATTTGAAATTATAGGAATTAATTGGAAAACAATGGAATTACGATTAATTGTTGGAATTACTGGATTTTTTTGCTTACTAGAATTTTAGTAGAATTTTTTTTCAAGTTAACGACCCCTCGCAATATTATTTAGCAAAATGTAAAAAAGTTGATTAATGTAAATATTTTTTTATTGAAATTTAAATACAGTCAAAGGACACGACTTAATATATTTATATATTTTAATAATCAACTCTTGTGTCTATCACTGTGTAAAAGGAATTCTCAAAAACAAACATGAAAAACAAACATTTTATTTTTGTTCAAATGAAAATGGGCTGTGATGTGTAAACTGTGCGTTCGGCAGATTGTTTAATGCAGCAGAATGCATATTTGATTTAGTCGGATTTTATCTATTGAACAGAAAGTTTTATTACCTTTTCACATGTTCGATTGAAATTTCCATATTTTGTGGTTTCTGACATAATTCAATTCGTGAAAGACGTGATCTGAAATTTTCGAGAACGTTTACAAAAAATTAATCCGTGCTGCGGTTTCGTTTAAAACTTTTAATTGCTGTTATTCAACAAAAAATTACAATTGAAAAATCCACAAATTTGCATACTTCGCAATAAACTCGAACTTTACAGCGCCATTAAGTCCTTTCTTCTCAACTTTAAATTTTAACAAGAAAGCCAGCGTTAATGAAACCGAAAGAGACAAATAATTCATCTCGTCTTGACGCATCTATGTTTCATAAAAGTTTGATGCGTTAACGCAAAACTCGGGCAAATTGTTGTTTTGTTGGAAGAAACGTTTCAGGACATTTGACAGCAATTTATGAGTGAAATGGGGCCGACGTTTGGGGTGAAATATCTGACCTGTTGCCGCTCAAATTCACTACTGGAAACAAGACAATCTCGAAAAGTATCCACTTTTTATATATCGGGTAAGAAATAAAGACATTCAATCAACTCGGGAAAGTTGAAATGCTATTGTTTGGCTTCGCTCTTTAGTAAATAGTTTCCTGGAACGAGTTTGCCGCATTTGAGAAAACATAAGCAACAAAATTAAAACACACCAAAGTTTTTCAAAGTTGAAAAAAATAAAAGCGATTTTTTTCTAAAAATCGGTAAACATGCTGATATGTCACGTCTAGTTTTCACTGCAGCTTCAACTAATCATAATTATTGTCAAAGGGGTGAATATTTGAACGCAGCGCAGTTCAATTATCTGAATAGCGCCCGAAGTGCGGTGCTCATTGTTGAAATCAAAGGGAATAAAATCAAAAAGAAAAACCTTAAACTGTTCACTCATCACCAATATCTCGAACTTTCGCACTGAATCCGAATGGCTAAATTACATTTTCACCCCTTTGATATTGACGAATTTTATTTATTTAGGTGCAAACAGACTGCGCCCTTTTGAACCCCAATTTATGTCTTCTTGGAGGTGAATGTTAACAATAACTTCTCTGCTTTGATGGCCTGTAAATGCGTTACAGTTTTTTCAAGCAGAAGGTCAATTGTTGCCGACTGCTTAATTTGTAGCTGAAAAAATCTAGACAAGTCAGAATGGCTTTCTGGAAAATTCATTATGAAATTGCTCTTTAACAATACGGCGAGACTCTTGGGAATTATTTTTGTTAGGAGAGGAAATTGCACGGAAATAGAAAATAAACGAAATATCTCATTCAGCAAAGTATGTTACAACTGAAAAGATACAGTACTGAAAAATAGATAGGAAAATATTTACAAACTGTCGATGAAAATACGAATATATTTTCGTAATTTCAAGAGAGTTTGTTGGCTAAAATTAAAGTAAATTTGTAAATATTTATTTTCTCCACAATGTGGCAAAAACAGTTCTTTAAACAAAAAAAATTCTTACTAGTTGCAACTAAAAATTATGTATTTGAGTTCGAATTATCGAATTTGACTATACTTTAAAAAAATAAGAATACCTTAAATTATAGTTGAACTTCGATTACTCGAACCTTCAGTGAGTACAAAAGTAACAAAATTTCTTAGTCGATATAAGTCTAATTTTTCCATTAAAAATTTTTATTTTTTCAAACAAGTTTAAATATTTGACAGTTTTTTTTTCAATTTACTCAGATTGTTAAAAAAGTACTACTGCTTTAAATATACATATATGCTTTTAAATAAATAATTTGTTTGGCCATTTTTTATTCCTGTTTTTATTTAGTTTGATAACTCGATGTTTCAATTTCTGAAACTTTTTATTCACATATTTCGTGTTATCCAAGTTTGAAAGTAATTTAAAGTCATATTAGTGAAAAAAAGTCTTTGTTATCGTAAAAACCCGAAACTATCAATACTTTTAAAAAAAATTCAAAAAAATTTGTAAAGTATATCTAGTTGAACTTTGATAACTCGAACCTTCAGTAACTCAAATCTTTCAATAATTCAATTTTAACCAGATTTTTTTTAGTTTTTTAGTGAAAAACTTGATTATTTCATACAAGTTTAAGTTGTACACTTCGTTTTTTAATTCTCTCAAATTGTCAAAAATTTATTACTTTTACTTTAATTACTTTGAATGTACTTTCTTCTAAATAAACATTTTTTCATCTTTTTTATTTTATTTGATTACTCATTTTTTTTGATTTCTGACTTGTAGTTTGAGTTATCGAAATTTAACTCTAAAAAAATAAAAATACTTGAAAAAAAGGCGTAGACGGTTTCGGGTTTTTACAGTAGTAAACACT